TTCTAACTCTTGGTTGGTAATCCTTTGGTGGTGGTATGTTTATCCCAACTTTTGGTTGGTAGTCCTCCTTCATTCCCCGGTGGAGTCGTCATTCCAGCTTTTGGTTGGCAGCTTTGTCTGATCCCAACTTTTGGTTGGTAAGATTTTGTTGGAAGTGAGTCCAACTTTTGGTTGGTAGCTTGTGGTCGTTGTGTTTCATCGGATGTCACTACAACAAAAATGATTTTAGGCAACGGAGGAATAGACAACAACTGTAAAACCGTCCCTATAAGTAACATAAGCTACGCATTTTTACATGTGGACGCTTTTTTTTCAAAACCGTCCCTTATTTATTATATGCTACGGTTTTGAAAATGTGGTTATAGTATAACCGTAGCGTATTCACTTCTATCCACAGTTTCATAAGCGTAGCGTGTTGTATTTTTTATTTCTATTTTTTTAAAATTTAATGTTAATTATTCGCATATTACTAAATGTACAGAGTGGGGATCGAACCCCTGTCCTTGAAGTGCTCTAACTCAAATTTGAAAATATGATTGAAAAATTAATTTAAGAAAATTGGCAACATCAAGACTTGAACCCGAATCCCTTGCTTCATAGTAAAACCTCACAACCACCAGAACACTAACGCCATTTGTTTTTAATTTGAATTCTAAATTTATTAATTAGTTAATATGTTCTAAAATCTTAAAATTTTCATCCGCCCCATATAGTTTCTCAAAGTTGGGGGTTGTTTAAACCCTAACTTTTCATCTCTCTGCAAGCGAATATTTTCACCGTCATTCATTCCGGCAACCGTCCTCCCTTCTCTCATCCATTGTTTATATCTCTCAAATGTAAGTTTCTCATTCTAATTTTCTAAATAATAATAATAATGTGCAATTATCAATCTCTCATTTTCATATTTTTGCTCTAGGGTATTCACTCACAATCTTAGTTCTGCATTTGACTTTTAGTCTCAAACCCAACCTTTCAATTTCAGTATTGTTCTCACTTTCAGGTATTTTACTTCTTATATATAATAGAATAGTAGACATGATTCTGCCATGGTAATGAGGAAATAGCAGAACTTTGTTTTTTAATCTCAGTTTGTGTTTGTGGTTGTGGTTATGGTGATATATATTTATATTTATATATATATATATATATATATATATATATATATATATATATATATATATATATATATATATATATATATATATATATATATATATATATATATATATATATATATATATATATATATATATATATATATATATATATATATATATATATATATATATATATATATATATATATATATATATATATATATATATATATATATATATATATATATATATATATATATATATATATATATATATATATATATATATATATATATATATATATATATATATATATATATATATATATATATATATATATATATATATATATATATATATATATATATATATATATATATATATATATATATATATATATATATATATATATATATATATATATATATATATATATATATATATATATATATATATATATATATATATATATATATATATAGAGAGAGAGAGAGAGAGAGAGAGAGAGAGAGAGAGAGAGAGAGAATGAGAGTCTTGCTTACTCTTTGTCTCTCAATATAGCAAGTATGGATACAACTTTGGTTAGGATGAATTTGAAGTTATTTCCACAACTCTCTATAGTGTCCACCAAGAATGAGGCCCAAGTCTTTGATATCAATGTCATATATTTTCACTTAAACTTTGTAGCTAAGTTTTCTGCTATGTGTTACTACTAAATGTTGTCAAATAGCGGCTATAGAGACATTTGAACAAACTACTGAGTTTTTGAACTGTGAGGTGATACAACTACTGAGTTTTTGAAGGAAGGTTTTATTGATACAACTACTGAGTTTTTAAACTGTGAGGTGATTCGTGTTAGTGATAATCCTCATAAGATTCGGTTGTGGAATCATGTGGTCGAGTTATTCAGGAATAAACTAGCAGTGTGGAAGAATAAAAACTTGAGTACTGGCGGTAGTTTAACTATTTCCCACAGTTTATTGACAGGAGAAATAAACTCATCCATATGCAATCTCAAATCACTTGTGCGTCTTGATTTATCATTCAACAGCTTAAATGGCAATGTTCCGTCGTGTATAGGGAATTTTAGCCGATATCTAAAAGTTATTTTGCTAAAGGGAAATAAATTGTTCAGTCTCATTCCTCAAACATACCAGATGAAAAATACCCTTCAGATGATTGATTTCAGCAACAACAATCTTCAAGGTCAGTTGCCAAGAGCATTGGTCAATTATGGATTGCTAGAGTACTTTGATATTAGCCATAACAATATAAACGATTCGTTTCCATTCTGGCTGGGAGATCTACCCGAGTTAAAAGTATTGGCTTTAAGTAACAATAAATTTCATTGAGAAATCACTTGCTCTAGCAACATGACATGCACATTTCCTAAACTTCATATCATTGATCTATCTCACAATGAATTCTCTGGTGGATTTCCTTCAGAAATGATCAAGAGATGGAAAGCAATGAAGGTGTCCAATACAAGTGAATTACAGTACGAGCAAGGATTTGTTTACTTGAGGTTCAACAAGTCAGGAGAATATTTGAAAGCATATAATTCCTATCTTCAATCTCTCATTTTATAAGGCTCCGGTGCAGATTATGAAAACTATCTCTAAAATTCAAGTTAACTTCCTATGGGGTGGTATGACGAAGAAAAGGAATATCCATTGGATAAGTTGGAAGCGGGTTTGTTTACCGAAAGAGCTAGGCGGTCTGGGTATCAAGAACATTATGTGTTTCAATAAAGCTCTTTTGTTGAAGTGGAAATGGAGGTTGATCAAGGAAGAAGAAGCATTATGGAAAGGTATTTTGGAGTTCAGGTATGTGCAGAAATACAATAACATTGGTCTGGCTATGTTGTGTAAGGAAGGTAAAGGTGGAAGTAACTCGGATTCGATATGGTGGCGTGACTTAATGGTGATCGGTTATGACAAGCTGTTATCTATGGATCTATTTTCAGATTCGATCAGAGGAGTGTTGGGTGACGGAAGATCATTATCCTTCAGGAATTCTCGTTGTTTTGGCAGCAGTTATTTGAAGGACGTCTATCCGTCGTCTTTCTTAGCTAGCATTTCTCAGCATGCTACTGTGGCTGAGATGCGGAAGTTGTTTGAAGAACAAGATTGCACTAATATTTTTTCTTCTTCTTGCGTAAAGTTGAGAAATTCATCTCATTGATTGAGCAACTGCACTTAGATGATAATAAGAATGATTCCTATGTGTGGACTCATGGAGATGAGAATTTTTATTCTGTCTGTTCTGGGTATATGCTAATTTTGCAGGTAAATAATATCATTGAATTGGATGATAGGTCTGAGATTGTTATGAAGATAACGTGGGCTTCGTCCTTTCCTTATAAAATTCATGTTCTATTATGGAGATTGTTTTGGGACAAGTTAGCCACTAAGGACCAATTGCATAAGAGAGGTATAAACCTTGGCAGTATGGATTTACAGTGTTCTTGTTGCAGTGCTGTAGGCAAATCATCTCGCCATATCTTCTTGGACTGTCAATCTGTATGTTTAGTAATCTCAACAGCAATGCTGAAACAAGTATTGAAATGTGTGTTAAATAAATATAATAGCTTGTGAGTCTTTCTCAAAAAAGAAAAGAAAACTTACTAGGACAATCAGAGATATTGGCTTTAACATCACAAACAGCCGGAAGTTGAAGAAGCTTGTCCTTTTGAATCCCCATGCTCTTACTTTCAGGACTCCCCTTATGAGTATGTTGAATGATGTAACACAGACACTCTGGATTCGTATCCTTAATACTCTTGGCCGCATCACAACACTCTTTCTTCGGCTTCGGTGCTTTCCCAGTCGCAAAATCCAAACAAGGAATCACCTTTGAAACCACCTGACTACATGTCTTGGACAAGTCTTCTGCTCCGTTTGCTGTGTTGGAACAAACTATGATGGTTAGAGCCAGAACACAGAGGCATGTGACTGTTTGATGTTTCATCTTTGATGTCTGTGTGTGAGGTTTGAGTTGTGAGAAGAGAAGACGTGTTTTAAATTGGTGTGGAGAGGTGAAGAGTAAATGAGGAGTAGTGTGGTCTTGTTCTATTTATTGAGGAGATTAAGGAGAGAGATAATAACGTTGTACTCTATGGTAGATAAATGTCCTTATTTTATTTGACAACTCAACTGGTGTAATGAATTCACTTCAACCAAATGCTAATTAACAATGTAGTCAAATAAATCTACTCCATTCATGAAGATTGTTTTTATCATTTCTTATTCATTAAGAAAAATGTACAAATAAAACAAAAAATAATATTATTTTTTTAAAACTACTTTTATCAGATGTGTAGTTATACCATATATGTATATGTGTAAAGATTAAAACTACTTTGAATTGGTTAATTGTGTTAGTTAATTTTATGGAATTTGGTTAATTGTTTAATATGGACATATCTTTTTGAAGTGGAATGATTACATTTGAAAAGATTTTTTCATATGGACATTAAAATTGGTCAAATGTTTAATGTTAATTTATTAAGAACTAGATATACAGTTCCATAAAGTTGTCAAAATTGGCCCTGAAAAATGCATCCATAGTTTCAACAGTTTGTCATATTGGATATGAGTTCAACCCAAACCAACTGCTATCAAGCCTTATATAATCTTTTACTTGTTCTTAAAGTTTAGAAGGCATTTATTTACTAAATCCAACAAATAATAAATAATAAAAATAATAAAATAGATAGTTCTAATAGTTAGAGGGTTATTTGTTATGTTAGTTAAAATGTTAGAATTAGAGATGTTATTGATGGATGTTTAAAATATTGTAGTTAAATTTATTGTTAGTGATCCTTATGTGTTTATACATTTTATTTGTTTATAAATTTATTGATAGATGTTTAAAATATTGTAATTAAATTAGACTAAAGGTATGGACAAAGCATGTACTAAACTCCCAAGACACTGGAAGAAGTATAGAAAAGGTGTTAAGTCTTTTTTAGATTTTGCCTATACCACAGGAAGACCTCAAGGACGTGAAATTTCTTGTCCTTGTGCTCATTGTGAAAATTGTAAATGGGAAAGAAGACATGTGGTCCGCGATCATTTAATAGCTGTAGGTTTTGTGAAAGGATATGATGTTTGGGTAAACCATGGAGAGGATATATCATCGCCTATGAAAATTAAGGAGGGCACAAAAAAGCAAGAGAACTCACTTGATGACATTGGTGGTTTATTTTATGACACATTTAGAAATGTGGTTGAAGCAGAGGAAAGTAGTGAAGCTCATAATGAGGATGCGAGAAAGTTCTACAAGTTGATTAATGAGGCAAAACAAGAGTTATACCCCGGATGTGAAAGCTTCTCTACTCTATCGTTCATAATTCAACTTTACTTGTTGAAGTGTCTGCATGGATGGAGCAATGCATCTTTCACTTCCCTTTTAGAATTATTGAAAGAAGCGATTCCAGAGTTAAACATTCCTGAATCTTTTAACAAAACAAAGGCGATGATTAGTGATTTGGGTCTCGATTACAAAAAAATTCATGCATGTCCAAATGATTGCATGTTATATTGGAAAGAACACGAGAACGATAACTCTTGCAATATTTGTAAGGCTTCACGATGGAAGGAGTTTCCTCAAGTAGAGAGCGAGTCTTCTGAGCATGCGAAATATGATCATAAAGTCCCTGCTAAGGTTTTGAGACACTTTCCATTGATTCCATGATTTCAAAGGTTATTTATGTGTTCAAAGACAGCAAAGGAAATGAGGTGGCATGAAGAAAAACGCTCAAAAGATGGAAAATTAAGGCATCCTGCGGATGGACAAGCATGGAGGGATTTTGATAGACTTCATCATGACTTTGCTTCTGAGATTCGTAACATAAGACTTGTCTTATCAAGTGACGGCTTTAATCCATTCCGGACCATGAGCTTATCACACAGTACATGGCCTGTCATGATGGTAGTATACAACTACCCTCCTTGGTTGTCCATGAAATCTGAATATACAATGTTGTCATTGTTGATTCCTGGGCCACAATCACCGGAGAATGACATTGATGTGTACCTTCAGCCATTAATTGAGGAGTTAAAGGAGTTATGGGAATTAGGAGTAGACACATATGATGCCTCAAAAAATCAAACATTTAAACTTCGTGCAACACTCCTATGGACAATTAGTGATTATCCTGGGTATGTTATGTTATCAGGTTGGAGCACCAAAGGAAGGTTTGCATGTGCGTGTTGCAATCATAACACTGAATCATTATATTTAAAAAATAGCCACAAGATGTGCTACATGGGTCATCGTGTCTTTTTACCAATGAGCCATGCTTAGAGGTTAAATAAAAGGTCCTTTAATGGAAAGAAAGAACTTAGGTCTGCCCCTTCTTTGTTAAAAGGGACAGATATTTTGGAAACCCTGAAAGATTTTCATAATGAGTTTGGTAAAACAAAAAAGAAGAAAAAAGATGGTCCATGGAAGAAAAAATCAATATTTTTTGAGTTACCTTATTGGGCTGAAAATACATTACGTCATAATCTTGATGTGATGCACATTGAAAAAAAATATATTTGATAATATTATTGGAACTCTTTTAGACATACCAGGGAAGATAAAAGATCATGTTAATGCTCGTTATGATTTGAAAGACATGGGAATAAGAAAGAAGCTTCATCCAAAAGAGATTGGTGGAGGTCGTGCAGAGATTGCAAAATCTTGTTTTTCAATGAGTGCATGTGAGAAGACTATTTTTTGTGGTGTTTTAAAGGGTGCCAAATTACCAGATGGGACTGCATCAAACATTTCAAAGTGTGTGCAAGTTAGTAACAAGAAAGTGTTTGGCTATAAGAGTCATGACGCACATTTCATGTTACATTACTTATTACAAGTAGCAGTAAGAGGCACCATGCCCAATGCAGTGGCTGAACCTCTAATTCGCTTAGGGTCATTTTTCCGCTCTTTGTGTAAAAAAGTTATCCGGGAGAAAGATTTGAATTTCTTAGAAGCTGAGATTGCAAATATCCTCTGTCAACTAGAGATGATTTTTCCTCCAAGTTTTTTGATATAATGGTTCACTTGCCTATTCATTTGGTAAATGAAGTTAGATTGGGCGGTCCAGTTCAATTTCGTTGGATGTATCCCACTGAAAGAAATTTATGCAAACTCAAAAGTTATGTTCGTAATAGAGCTCATCCTGAAGGATCTATTGCCGAGGCATATTTGGCTGAAGAAGCTTTGACTTTTTGCTCAAGATACTTGCATGACAATGTAGACACAAGGTTAAATAGAAAGAGTCGAAATTATGACAATAGTGACTTGTGTGATGTGGATTTAAGTGATTACTTTTCATGTCTTGGTCGTTCCTTATGTGGGAAGAAAAATGGTAAACCATTTTTTCTAGATTCAACTACAAAATCCCAAGCCCACTGATACCTTTTGTTCAATTGTGATGAAGTTAACACATTCATCAGGTACCATAATATATTAAGTTCATTTATAAAACACACACACACACACACACACACATTAGTGTTATTTTCTAACAGATGATAAGTTATCTTTGTAGGGAGCATGATGATATTGTCAATAGTCAAACTAAAGGACGAAGGTGGGTCAAGGCCAAAACCCAAAGTCACGATTTTAGTGAATGGTTTAAAACTCGAGCCTTGAAAGATGATGTATCAATTCAGCTGAAAGATTTCTCTAGAGGTCCATGTGATACAGCAAAGAGGTTTTCAGGCTACCTCATCAATGGATATAGATTCCATACTATGAAACGAGATGCAAGACGCAAAACTTAAAATTCAGGTGTAACTTTGGTTTCATTGACTCCAAGTTTTGCAAGCTCTAAGGATGAAAATCCTAGGATGAAAGCTGTAACTTATTATGGAGCAATTAGAGATATAATTGAGTTAGACTATTACTCTTAATTCAACTTTGTTTTGTTTGAATGTGATTGGTTCGAGGTAGAAGAAGACAAATATGGGCTTACTTGTGTATATTTCAACAAAAAATGTTACCAAAATGATCCTTTTGTTCTACCATCTCAAGTGCATCAATGTTTCTATATCCAAGATCCACTTGATGAAAGTAGGCAGTATGTCATGAAAACAGATCCTAGAGATTTATATAGTATGGGTGACATATCAGATTCAATGGTCCAAGACTCTTATCAAAGTGATCCTTTCGATGGTGAACTTAATTGGGTTAGAGAAGATATACCTGGAATAGTTGTTGATAAGCCTCCATCTTTTATGGAAGAAGCAAGATATGAAGATGATTCTGATTTTGACAATACTTTGTTGGACTAGTAGAGTGATGGGGTCTAAGTCATTCATTTTATTTACTGTTTTGCATCAATGTGAAAATTTGGAAGTAAGTTTTTTCATATATATGATTTCTAGATAGACAATTTCTTAGAAAACTTAGAAAACTTTATCTTAATTATGATAAATTTTATGGTAAAATACTTACTGTTTTGTATCAATGTGACTTCTCTTGTCCATTCTTGTGTATCTCTAAATATTTTTTATGTTTAATATTTTATAGGACAAATGAACAAGGAAGAAAACAAGAAAAATATGAAGTGTCATGTGAAAGGTCAGAGGGGTGCTTCCAGTTTTGAGCTACCACTGGTCAAATCAAGTTTTGAATTGGCAAGGAATTTCAACATCAAACTGGAGGAAAGAAAGACCAAACATGGAAAAATATGTGCACCTATAACAGAAGTTGCAGCTCTTAGGAACAAAAAAAATCAGCCATTAACTATTCCCCAATTCAAGTTATCTATGTTTGCAACAACTTCCAACAAAGAGCCTGAGCCAAAGAAAAATGTTTCAGATAATGCAAGTAGGACTAAACTACCTAACACTTATGCTGAAAAAAGTATAGAGAGGGAAGTGTCTTTAAAAACAAACAGAGGATTGAAGATTCAAGATCCAAAAGATCAATCTTTGATTTCTAAAAGGAATCAACCTTTAGTTTCTAAAATCCAAAATTCAAAAGGACAATCTTTGTCTCAAGTTAGAAGATTTACGCCTATACATATTCAGGATCCAAATATGCAATCCATGAAAAAGACGGTAATTGGAGATGGACCGTTGGAGAATGACATTTCAAGATCAAAGAAACAATCTAAGAGAATAGTTGTTGAAGATGAGTCAAGGGAAAAACATGAAAGTAACAATAAGAATCAACAACGAAAAGATCAACAGAAGAAAATGGTAGTGGCTGAAGAGGAATCAATGACAAGGCAACAAAGTGCTTGCAAGAAGACAAAAAGAAGTCCTTTGTGCCAATCAATGTTAATTGGTGACTTTCTTGAAAAAAATGGAAGAGATGTTGAGAAGGAGATGGAAAACTTAATTGAAGATGAGGAAAACATTGTTTTAGAAGAACAAGAACAAGAAGAAAATGTGGAATGTGAGGGAGACGCAGAAAAAAATGGTGATGTTTCATTTTATTTAAGACCAAGAAAATAGTTTATTATTAATTTATTTTATTAGTCATATGTGTGTGTATTTGATAATTTATCTTACATTATATTATTTGATGTCAAAACAGGGACAACTAAGAAAAGAACACGGGGACCAACGCGTTGTTTAAAAATATATGCAAGAGATGTAAAAGATCGTCAAGAAGTTACTCTAGATGACTTTGGAGAGCCAATTGGACCTGATGACCAAACTGTTTCTGACTTGGGCTATTTCCTCGGAACTATAGCAAGGAATGCAAATTTTTGTCCATTGATCTATACAAATTTCAAAGAGTTGCTTAAAGATGAAACAGATCCTAAGCGTCATAATTATCATATTTGGAAATATATTAATGTATGAGAAGTAAAATTTCATAATTTTTTAATGATCAAGTATCTATAATTAATGACAAACATTCTTTTATTCTTGCAGACGAAGTTCAACATTCCTGAGAGAGGAAAAAAAGCAGTGTATGCTCGAATAAACGATGCTTGGAGACGCCACAAATACTCTATCAAGAAAGATCATTTTCTAAAGTACTCTAATATGAAGGATAGATTAAAACACCGTCCAAAGAGCATATCTGATGTTCATTTCAAGAAATTGTTAGTATATTGGAAAGATACTCATATTCAAGTAAGTTATTTATTTTGCTCAATAATTTTTGGAACTGCCTCTAAGATAAATCAGAATTATTTCATGTAATTATATTCTTCAATTGATTATGGAAATGCCTAATTAAAATGAACATCCACTATCCACTATTCTTCAATTGATTATGGAAATGCCTAATTAAATTACCTTAAGAAATTATTATTCACACTGTCAGTGGAATACTTTCTAGAAATTTTGAATTACGGCTATAATTCCAGAAATAGGGGTGCAATGTTGGATTGCTGCTATGTTGGAGTATAGGTAGAAAAAAAGAAGACAAAAATTCCTTATATTTAGATAAATGTAATATTTTTATAGACAGAAAAGTGATCACTTTGCAGAAATGCTGCAATTTTTTAAGGCTTAGGAATGATTTGTACATTATTATTATTATTATTATTATTATTATTATTATTATTATTATTATTATTATTATTATTATTATTATTATTATTATTATTATTATTATTATTATTATTATTATTATTATTTTAACTTTTTTTATTACAAATCTATTTTTAGAATAAATGTAATATTATGTTAGTTTCTTAATTTTAATATCTTGGCTCTTAACTATACTTGCCTTTTTATGACATTAGTATTGGTTATGCTCTTTTTCAAGTTATGAAAGCAAAACAAACTGGGGACCAATGACTGCAAAATTGCAGTATGCAAAAGTAACATTTCCTACTTTTTGCAGTTGAGAAAACATACAGATCACTAGTAATTATTATCATAGGGGTGCAATGTTGTTAGAGTACCGATAATTATTATCATAGGGGTGCAACGTTGGATTGCTGCTATAATTCCAGAAATAGAAATTTCTTTCTATTTAAATTACCTTAATATTACATTAGAAAGGAATTTAAATAAATTACCTTAAGAAATAATTATTCACACTGTCAGTGGAATACTTTCTAGAATTTTTCAATTGCTGCTATAATTTTAGAAATAGGGGTGCAATGTTGGATTGTTAGTTGTTAATCGTGTGTATTCTATAATTCTATAATTCTATAAATGTTGGATTGTTAGTTGCAATGTTGGATTGTTAGAAATTTTGGATTGCTGCTATAATTCTATAATTCTAGAAATACCTTAATATTACATTAATAACGTATTCAAAATTTGAAGGGGAATCAAAATCTATTATTATCTAAGAAATTGTGTTAGTTGTTAATCATGTGTGTGTTTGTATGATGAGCTATATCTTATCATGAACTATTTGTTATAGTTATGAGATGAAGGGGTCTTCGTCTTTAAGTTGTTTGTCGTTTTTGGCTAACAACCCAATTTTTGTTTTTTTAATTATAGGATATTAGCCAAAAGAATGCAGTTAATAGGAGCAAGAAAAAGTTTATGCATCATGTAGGACCGACAAATTTTGCTAGAATTCGTGCAAAAATGGTATGGTATTTGTGCGTGTTTCTCAATAGAATAATGTGTTTTTTCAATATCTTATTAACTAATATTTTGTATTTTTAATATATGAATAATAATGTAGCAGGAAAACAAGGATGGGCAAGAAGTCACTCAAGCTGAGATGTTTATTGAAACTCGAAAAAGTCGCAAGGGAAAACAAGTGGATGAGGAAACCCAATTTGTGATTGTAAGTTAAATTATATCCATTTTAATTGCACATGTAGTTTTTAATTTTGTTCAAAGTTGATAGTTTGATATATTAGGATAAACTTCAAGATTCTATTGAAACTTCAACTGAAGCCGGAACACAAACATTTCAATCACTGCTTGGAAAAGAAAAACCCGGTAGAGTGAGATGTTATAGAAGAACTGTTACACCATCATTGTTGAAAAAAAAAGAAGAAATTTCTTTAATAAAAATGCAATATGATGGTAAAATTTCTGACATGACACAAAAGATGGGAGCAATGGAGGCACTTTTGAAAAACATGTATATGCAACAAAGTCCACATTTAAGTGAAGAGGAAGTAAACGATAAGATGAGAGAAGCCTTGCACAATGATAATATTCCAACACCGCGCTCATCGACATCAACCTATGCTCCTGCTCATCAAAAGGTACTACAATTGATATTAATTAAAATTGGCATTTATTTTACTAAGTGTTGAGTTGGTATTTCTTTAGTATACTAATTTATGTTGCTTATATCGAGTTCTCCCCTAGGATTAACTCTTTTGTTTAATTAACTTTATTGACATAGTCTTAGAATGTTTAAAGAATGAAATGAAACTGTTGTGAATCGGATACCTTTAAACAAAGTATAAACGGTTTCTTTATGATCAAGAAACACGCAAGGGTTAGGGTTAACAAAGAAAACAAGATAAAACAACAAGGAACAACAAGGATTGGTTATTAAACTGCTATTCTTTCCTTTCTCTTTGAACAAGATTACAAGTATACAAGAATAACAAAATAACCTCTCTCCCTTGAAATTAGGATTTTATCTTCCTATTTTTCCTTATTCTCAAGATTGAGAAACTAGCATCCTATTTATAATAAAATAGCACACTAACCTAATGGGCTTTTTAACAATTACCCATTACAAGCTAACTTAGAGTACAAGCTAACTTAAACAATTGGGCTTACAAGCAAGACCCAATTCAACATGCTAACAACCCTAGCAATATTTACTCATGCTAACAACCTTAGCAATATTTACTCATGCTAACAACCTTAGCAATATTTACTCATGCTAACAACCTTAGCAATATTTACTCATGCATGTTAGAACAAACTTCGACTACAACACGCATTACTTGCGAACAGACTTCGACCACACTAGAGTTCGATCCAATGTCTCACAAATCTCCACCTTGGATCTAACTCTATAACATCAAGAAACTAGCTTTCTTCATGCAGATTTATTAACTGCATACAGTGGAAAAACTTGCAACTGGGCAATGTCTTGGTGATCATATCAGCAGCATTATGATCTGTCAAAACTTTCAGCACTTGGACTTCTCCATGATCGATTACCCCTTTGATGAAATGCAGCCTCACATCAATGTGCTTGGTTCGCTCATGATAGGCTGAATTCTTCGACAGATGTATTGCACTTTGACTATCACATTTAACAGTGATAACTCGACCTTGAAGTTTTAGCTCCTTTGCAAAACCTTCAAGCCACACTGCTTCCTTCACAGCTTCAGTTAGAGCAATATACTCCGCTTCAGTGGTTGATAAGGCAACGACCTTCTGAAGTGTTGCTTTCCAACTGATTGTTGTCCCAAACATAGTGAACACATATCCGGAGATAGATTTTCTAGAATCCATACAACCTGCATAATCAGAGTCGACATATCCTTCGATTACTGCTTTACTATCTTCACCCAAGGCTCCACCATAAATTAGGACTCTATTCAGAGACCCATTTATGTACCTTAAAATCCACTTCAATGCTTGCCAGTGAGCCTTTCCAGGATTCGCCATGTACCTGCTTACAAGACTTACTGCATATGCTATGTCGGGTCTAGTACAGACCATAGCATACATCAAAGACCAATTTGTCTTCTTTTGATTCCTCATAACTTCCTTATAGTCTCTAGGTTCTTCGTCTAGAACCTCACTTGCAGAGATTAAGGCATAAGCTATAAGATCTGCATACCCAAGTCTCTGAGGTGGCTTGATGATTCTCCTCGACCTGTCTCTTGCTAACAGGTAGTCATTATCAGTCTCCTCATCTTCGACAACATCTTCTGTGTCTTCTTCGACTTCATCTGGGGTAAGCAATTCAGCATCAACATGCTCCACCTCAACAGGAATCTCTCCCTGTTCCAGCTCTTCGTCAGCATCATCAGTTTTCTTGAAAGCCATCTCTGCTTCGTTGAAAACTACATCTCGACTGGTGATACACCTCCTGTGACCTGGCTCTAGGCACCATAGCCTATAAGCTTTGACTCCTTTAGGGTATCCCATGAACATGCATTTCAGAGCTCTAGGTTCGACCTTGTCTTGCCTAATATGAGCATAGGCCACACAGCCAAATACTCTCAGTCTGTCGAGACTGGGTGGATGTCCCGACCAAACTTCTTCAGGTGTCTTCATTCCCAAGGCAGTCGAGGGACATCTATTTATCAGGTAAGCTGCTGTCGAAACAACTTCCGCCCAAAACACCTTCTTCAATCCAGCACTAACCAACATGCATCTAACCCTTTCAAGGATTGTTCAATTGAATCTCTCAGCTAAGCCATTTTGTTGAGGAGTACCTGCTACAGTCTTATGCCTTGCAATCCCAGACCCAACACAGTAACTGTCGAAAGCTTCGTTGCAGAATTCAAGGCCATTATCGGTTCTCAACCTCTTAACCTTTCTTCCAGTCTGAGTTTCGACTAGAATCTTCCAACTTTTGAAATTCTCAAAAGTTTCATCCTTCGTCTTCTGAATGAATACCCATAGTTTTCTGGAATAGTCATCAACGATGGATAGAAAATACCTTGCACCTGAGTGTGAAGGATTCCTTGCAGGCCCCCAAAGATCAGCATGAATGTAATCCAGGGATCCATGTGTTCTTTGCTTGCCTTTGTTAAACTTCGTCCTACAGGATTTACCAAATAAACAAGATTCACAAAATTCCAACTTTTCGACTTTGTCACCTCCTAGTAGGTTCTGCTTCCCCAATTCGACCAGGCCTCTTTCGCTAACATGGCCCAATCTCATGTGCCATAATTCTGTCTTCGACATAGATTTCGTGGATGCAACATTTGTCGAACCACTTACAACCTCAGCCTCAAGGGTATACAAGCCTTGTTTCTTCACGCCTCTCAAGACTTCCTTCGACCCCTTCATGACTCTTAGGATACTTTTCTCTCCTTGAAAAACATATCCTTTTCTGTCGAATTCACCAAGAGAAATCAAATTTCTCTTCAAGTCAGGTACGTACCTGACTTCAGTCAATAACCTTATTGAGTCATCATGGAGCTTGAATCTCACAGATCCAATACCTGCAATTTTGCAAGATTTGTTGTTTCCTAACAGCACAGATCCACCATCTTGATCACATAGCTCCTCGAACAATTCTCTGTTTGGAGTCATGTGCCAAGTGCAACCTGAATCCATAATCCACTCTTTCCTCGAGTCGCCACTTGAAACCACAAGAACATCAGATGAGTCGAAGTCATCTTGAACAATGGCTGCATTGCCATTACCTCCATGATCTTTCAGGCGTTCAGGGCACAACTTTCTTATGTGACCCTCCTTCTTACAGTGGTAACATCGAATACTAGATGTTTCGCCACTATAAGACTTTTGTTGACTTTTACCTTTTTTCTTGTCGAACTTACCATCCTTTCGCAAGAATTTTCCCTTAACGGCCAAACCTTCGCCCACCGTCGAAGGTTTATGCTCCTTTCATTCGTTCAAGTCCTTAAAATACAAGGCTGATTGAACTTCTTCAAAGATCAGGGACTCTCTTCCATACAAGAGAGTTTCTTTGAAGTGAGCATGTGTTCTGGGCAAAGCACACAGCAGCAATAGTGCTTGATCTTCATCATCGATCTTCACATCAATATTTTCAAGATCAAGAATCAGCTTGTTGAACATATCCAACTGCTCAGCCAACACTTTGTCTTCACTCATCTTGAATGAATATAAAGCTTGCTTCAGGTATAGTCGATTCACCAGAGATTTGGTCATGTACAAACTTTCAAGTTTCACCCATAATCCCGATGCTGTAGTCTCCTTTGATACCTGTCGAAGAACCTTATCACCAAGGCTCAATAATATTGCGCTGTGGGCTTTCTCGATCATGCTCGTCTTTTCTTTTGCCGTTAACGCAGCGTCCATGGCTGCCTCACCCTTCAACGCTTCCAAACAACCCTGCTGAACCAATAGGGCTTTCATCTTCAAGCGCCACAGACCGAAGTCGTTCACTCCGGTGAACTTTTCAATCTCATACTTTGTTGAAGGCATCTTCTCCACGCTCACCACACCAATTTGTTGTGAATAGGATACCGTTAAACAAAGTATACATGGTTTCTTAATGATCAAGAAACACATAAGGGTTAGGGTTAACAAAGAAGACAAGGTAAAATAACAAGGAACAACAAGGATTGGTTATTAAACTGGTATTCTTTCCTTTCTCTTTGAACAAGATTACAAGTATACAAGAATAACAAAATAACCTCTCTCCCTTGAAATTAGGATTTTATCTTCCTATTTTTCCTTATTCTCAAGATTGAGAAACTAGCATCCTATTTATAATAAAATAGCACACTAACCTAATGGGCTTTTTAACAATTACCCATTACAAGCTAACTTAGGGTACAAGCTAACTTAAACAATTGGGCTTACAAGCAAGACCCAATTCAACATGCTAACAACCCTAGCAATATTTACTCATGCTAACAACCTTAGCAATATTTACTCATGCTAACAACCTTAGCAGTATTTACTCATGCTAACAACCTTAGCAATATTTACTCATGCATGTTAGAACAAACTTCGACTACAACACGCATTACTTGCGAACAGACTTCGACCACACTAGAGTTCGATCCAATGTCTCACAGAAACATATTTGTTTAGCTTAGTATTATGTGTTATGTGTTACTATAGTACTACTTTATACTATGTAATATAGGTGATGTACTGTAAAAAAAGTGAAAAAGTGAAAGATTAGTAGTTGCTGCCAAGACCAAACCGACAACGGTAATGCTAGCATAATATTGTACCTGCGGTTCACTACTGTTGCTGCATTTTTTTTTAGTATAGTAGCTTTTTTATTCTTATAATCTTAGTATATACATTAGTTAGTTTATATATATATATATATATATATATATATATATATATATATATATATATATATATATATATATATATATATATATATATATATATATATATATATATATATATATATATATATATATATATATATATATATATATATATATATATATATATATATATATATATATATATATATATATATATATATATATATATATATACTTACACTCAGTTTCATGCTTATTCTTCCTACTACTATCTCTAATTCCTCTTCATCTTTTTTCTCATAAGTTCTTTCACTTTTTCTTCTCTATTATCCATCATCAAAACCATGAACAAAGTTGATAAATCTCAAGTTATTTTTAATTATACTAATTTATAAAAAATTTCTTCATATTTACAGGTTAGAAATGAAGATGATCCTCAAGATGAACAAGATGACGTTCTCCAAGATGACGACGATCTTCAAGATGATGATGATCTTCATTTTGATATTGATGATGATCTCCAATATGATCAAGATGACGATCTTCAATATGATCAAGTTGACGGTTCTCAAGATGATGATTCTCATGATCCTCAATACAATGAATATGATGAAGACCTTCACTGATTCAAATATAGACAATTATGTTTTGTTTTATGGAGTTACATAAACCACCTAATTAGTTTATTATATTTTAAAGAGTTTGGATTTATGGAGTTACACAAACCGCCTAATTAGTTTATTATATTTCAAAGAGTTTGGATTTATTTTGAAAATATTTGTTCTTACATTTCAAAGTGTTTACTACACTTCATCTTATTAATACTTCATATTTATATGTTTTGATTAATTTATACATGTGTTTCTTCTCATTTAATTAATAATATTGAATTATACTATATTAGAATAAAATAAAGGTTTATGGCTGAAATGTATGACCATATAAATGAATAGGAAATTTTTTAATAATTATATCTTTAAGTTTAAAGTTAATATTTACCAAATATTTTTCAATTTATAGGCAACACTTTTTAAGGGTTGCTTATTAAAAACCGTGGACTTTTCCTAAGTTTCAGGCGCGGTTCTTTAAATGAAATTACAAATTAGCTACAGTTTTCATTTGTTGCTTTTTAATAACCGTTGTATATTCATGTTTTGGGGACGGTTATTTTGTGTTGTTACTAGAAAACCGCGGCCTAAAACTACAACTAAAACCGTGGAATTTGATGATTTACGCGACGGTGTTTTAAATCCGTGGTTAAAAATAAAAAAAAAACCGCGCTCTAAAGGAATAGGCAACAGCCGTTTGAAGGTGAGAAAATACCTTAGAAGGGGGGGGGGGGGGTTGAATAAGTAAGACTAAAAATCAAAGATTTGAACACAGATATTTTTATCCTGGTTCGTTGAATACAACTACTCCAGTCCACCCTCTCAAGAGTGATTTGCCTTTCTCTGTCAAGGACTTAATCCACTATTTAAATCAAACAGATTACAAATAGCAACACCTAAGAACAACTGTTCTTAGTCTTCTCAAGAGCAACTGATCCCAACTGGATCCTCTTAAGGAAAACCTTTTACAAACAATGTAAAACTTTTACAAGAGTAAGAATGCTTCTAATAAGCTGTTATCACAACTGTGATATTTCTCTTAATTTAATAACGAAGTTAAAGCAAAATAAAAATAATAGGAGCTTTGAGAGATTTGCTTTGATGAGTGATTTTGCTAGAAGTTCGATACTGAAGAAGATGGAGTGGACTTCTTTATATAGGCACTAAGATCCAAGAAGTCTTGTTACGTTGAAGGTTGTGCAGAAATGCCTGAAGCCTTTTGTCTTCACATTGGAGGCTGTGCTGAAACAAGCCTAATGCCTTTTGTCTTCACTTGCAGAAAACTTTCCTCAAAATGGAATGCACAGATAAAACCTTTTTGTCTGTGTCCTTGTGTCTAGCACAAAATAGGAAAGAGCTGTTGAGATAAACCAACGTACATATTTAAATCTTCTTCAAAGTAAGTTCAACTTTCAACAATAGAATCTGAATCTTCAGAGTCTCCAGAATAGAGATCTTCTGGATCTTCAGAGTCTTGGATGTTCTTCAGATTGAGCTGAATCAGAGTATGAGCAGCTTGTGTGCTTGAGCGTGTAAATGTATCAGAGCAGAGTCTTCTATGCTTTAGAGGCTCCTGCTTCAGAATCTTCAAGAGACAGTAATCAGATTCTTCTGAGAGCAGCGTTCAGATCTTCACTTAAGATGCTCTTGAACCTATGAAGCCCTTCATAATAACATAGTTCAGATGCAAATTTGCTTTCTAAAGATAATTTTCATTAGTACCTGTAGCAAACAATCTAGAACACGTTTAGAGTATATATTTCTTGAATACAAAATTCATAAGTGTTATCATCAAAACATAGAGATATAACTAAGACACAATCTGTGTTCTTACAATCTCCCCCTTTTTGATGATGACAAAACATGAGAAATTTTTTTCAATAAAGAGTAAGAATTAGAAACTCCCCCTGAGATTAACAATCTCCCCCTGAAATAAATACTTCAATAGAATAGAATACTTCCCTTTCTGATTAAGTATATTTCAGATTCAGAGCCTGATGAAAGAGTTCAGAATCAAATCTTGATGCCAGATACATATGACTTCCTTTAGTCAGAGCGTCTGGTTATCATCTTGCATGAATTCTCTTTCAAAATAAATGTATCAGGGTAAGATATCAGAGTTATCAGAGTTGATTGAATACTCAGATTTTCTTTAGAGGATCAGGTTCTGGTTGACACAGTCTCAGGGTAACTTCATAGAATTATGTCAGATATATCAATGTAATCTGAAAGACTTAAATTCAAAGTAAGTTAATAAAATGTCTGAATTTCAGTTTTAGTAATTGCTTATAGGTTGAACACTCAGTTTCTCTTTTTCTCCCCCTTTTTGTCATAATCAAAAAGAATTTTAAAGACAGAAAGATATAGAAGAAAAGAATCATATAGGAGCAAAACAAGTTATCATGTAATCAAAACAAACCAAAGTTCTCAGTCAAACAGGCAGATGCCAAAACACATAACACAACAAAAAAATAAACAGACAGCAAAAATTAGTTCATGTGCAAAACATCAAATAAAACTAGGTCTGGCGAGAGGCAATAAGGGTCAGAAGTTCTGTCATCTTGGCAGCTGACTCTTCTTGCTTAGACATCCAGGTCTTGATTTCATCAGTTGTCTTCTCTTGCTTGATCATCCAGTCCTTTATATCCTTCACATCATTCACAAGTTCTGCAACCACAGATGAAGACGGAGCAGATGCAGTAGCAGCAGGGTTCCCTTCAGATTGGTTTTTAACAGAAGCTTGTTCAACCATTTCAGATTCAGGAACTACTGGAGGAGCAGCTTCCAAAAGTAATACAGGAGGAGGAGGAGGCATGTTCATCAGAGTTACCTTGATTAATTCTGCAAATTTAGTCTTGGCAAGCTTAGAGCATTTAGCTCTAACTTTTAAGGCAGCTTTGTTGAACATCCAGATGAAGCGCTTCCAAGCAGTATTCGAAACAGTTGGATCCACACTAGACATGCATACAGCCTTAACACGATCAAATTCAGAATCTAACTCCTTTTTGAAAAAATCAAACATGGCATTAACACATGATCCTATATCTGACTGTTCAGACTGTCCAGAGGAAAAAGGATTAGGGGTGTTAACAGGAGTAGGTTCAGATGGTTGTGGTTGAGGTGTGGGTGGTTGAGATGTGTGGATGTCAGATTGAGGGAGTTCAGATGGTTGAGGAAAAGTCTGATTTTCAGATGGATTAGTTTCAGGTGGTTGAGGAATGGTTTGGTTTTCAGATGTTTGAGTGTCAGATGGTTGAATTTCAGATGGTTGTTGATGAGATGGTGAGTTTGGTGGGGTATGAAACAAGGCAATGTTAAGATGTTTCTTCATAACACTTTCAGAGCGAGCTTGTTTGAGTGATTCTGAATCACGGTCAGATGAATCAGGTGAATCAGAAGATTCATCTGAGTGAACAGATGTTGAAGAAATTATAATAGATTGATTGAGGGGTTGAATATCAAGAATATTGTCAGAAAGATTTGGATCTTCTGAGGGAATTGTTTGTTCAGAGTGTTCAGTTTGAACAGTCTCTGGTTGGTTTTATTCTGAAATAATTGTTTCTGATTGGAGAGTCTCTAATTGGGGATTCTCTGGTTGTGACAAAGTTGGTTGTGGAGTTACTGTTGGAGAGTTTTCTGGTTGAGTTGGTTCTGGTGGTGGAATTTCTGATTGAATTGTTTGAGGTTGTGGTTCAGATGGAATTGGTACAGGAGATGATTGTAAATTTACTGGTTCAGAGGAGAGAGGTTCAGATGAAATATTGACAGACTGTTTGGATTTAGAAGTTCTTTGTCTAAGGCTTGGAGAGAGTTGTGGTGAAGACAGGGGTGAATGAACAGTAGGTGTAGGATCAGATGCTAATACCTGTTGAATGGTGTCTCTGATCTCTTCCAGAGTGGCTTCTCTAGGACTGATTCTGGCTTTCTTTCCTTCTCTCTTCTTCTTTCTTGAAGCTTCAGATGCTTTTCTCTTCTTCTGAACGGATCCTTCTTCAGCTTTCCTCTTACTACGCCTTTCCTTCATCTGATTGGGCAATTCTTCTCCTGGCCTCTGAACAAGATTAGCAGGTAGAGGAATTCCTTCCTTTAGACATTCAGTAATGTACAGCCAGACAAATTCCTTAGGTTCATCTGCACTGAATAGTGGAAAGTCTTCCACAGGAATTCTTCTGCCTTGAACCTCTTCAGAGTTGATCTTCCTTAGTTGTCCTTTCAATTCTGAAATGATTTTCATCCTTTTCAGATTGAGTCCATTTATTTCAGAGCCAATGATTTAAGTCAGATCTTCTGTAATCTTCGCATCTGTCAGATGCTGTACCAGCTTGTTCTCAATAAGGATGTCTGAAATCAATCTTCCCAGGGGTATCCACGTCCTAACTTTACCAGCTTTAGCTCTTACTTCCTCTCTAGTTTCTTTGACATGAGTTAGTAAATGACTGAAGATAAGATACGGTAGATCCACTTTGACATTCTTGCTAATGCAGTACATGAAATACAGATGTTCCGAACTCACATAGTCTGGTGAGTTGGATGGTTTTCTGTGAAAAAATGTACTCATAAAGATTTTTGCCCAGATCCTATAAATGGGTTTCAAATCTTTAACCTTACTTGATGGAATTCCAGCTATAGTAACTTCTTCATAAACCCTAGCCATATCAATGCGAGAAGAAGCAAGGTTTGAAACACCATCAGATTCAGTATAACTGAACAGTTGCCTGATCAGTTTTTCAGTAATAACTATCTCCATTCCAAGAACCGAGGAATGAATAAACTTGGGACCAGCGCTTGCATGAATCCAAAATTCCTTTACCAGTGATGGAAATACAGGACCCATTAGTCTTTCAAAGTATTTTTCCCAACCTTGAGCTTTAATGGCAGAAATTAGGTCGAACCCATTTTCCTTTAACGAATCAAGATCAATGAAGCTTTCACAGAGCACCTCCAGATCAGCCACTGGAGTGAATAAGGTTCGTTCTGGTTCTTTGTACATTATAGTCTTGTTGGGTTTTGCAGCAGTG